TCAAGAAGACCCGATTTATCTATGTGATCTTGGGCATGTTGTTTTGCCTCTGCCTCAGTTTCCTTATCTGCAAAATGTGCCTAATAATAGCATTTATCTCCTAGGGTTGTTGTGAAGATCTAATGAGAGAATTATACATTTCTTAGCACATTGATACGTGGTAAGCAGTATATAACTGTTAGTCATTATTACTACTACTATTATTGTTATTATTTTGACTGGTCACTTTCCAGTTTTGAAGAGAAGTGCAAAGTTCAGCTACCTCCCTTAACCTAACTGCTCATTCCTTATATTAAAGGTGTGCGAGCTGTCTGTCACATTGGATGTGTCTTACATTTTTGCAGTGATGTGACCAAATAGATGATCAAGCATTTTTCACGTTCTTCTTGTCTGAGTGGTCCTTCTTCTAATTTCTTTGCTTCTCAAGCTTCTATCATGCAGCCTTTGGTTGATGTTGAAATGCATATTTTGTTCTTTCTGCAGCCTTTGCTTCTGCTGCCTTTCTGTTGCCTTTAACTTTGGAGTTTCACTTTCAATTTTTGATTAGGAGAAAAGAGCATTTCTGTCATAGTTTTGTGTTTTGAAGGTCATTCTGCATTTTTCCTTTTTGCCGTCTTAAATAAGTGACATGGTGTTCAAAATTTACTGAACATAGCTGTTAGATGATGGAATCTTCCATTGTCTTTCCACTCATCTTCCATACTTGTGACAAGCTGCTTTTGCCATGGTGGGATTTTGCACATTTTCTTAGGAATATTCCCATACAGCATCACCTCTCCTCCTAACCGTGACAACAGCTACAGCATATACTGTTGAATGCAGTTTATGGTATGTTTTTTTTTCCTCTGAAGTATTGCTGGAAGAATGCATTTGTTCATAATGTTTATAGCAAATTCCAGCCTTTTAAAGATGTCTTTGTTTGGTGTAAGTAGTCTATTAGTTGGAGTCATGCTGTGACACTCAAAAGGAACTGCAAGGATTCCATTCTAAGTAGGTCCATCTCCCTTTGAAAATCATTCAAGACATCTGTATTATTTTTGCTTTCTGTTTCATTATTTGGTAGCCCATGGGGAGTTGGTTTTGTGTGTATTATTTCAGTACCTTCTGCTTTTAGCTGTAAATAACTTTGATTTTTTCTCTTATTTGTTCTAATTTGTGCTAAGGAAATGATTCTCCTGAATTACATTGTTTTATAATACAAGTGATTGGTAATACATTATTGTATAACTTAGAACCAAGGATATCATTGAGAAAAAGCAAGATGGCATCCTTGCCAATAACTGGTAAAAACCCTTCCCGGTTTTGTTATGATGTAGCACCGATACATAATAAAAGCATATGCATCTTCAGAGAGTCCACTTCATGTGCACCCAGGATCTGCCTGCTTGAGTGGTCAGTGCCTCTGTACTATTCTCGTCATTATGATAGTTCTGGGTAGGGCCAGCATGCAACTGTATCCATGTCTTCGATTCTTAAGAGTAGCTACATCACATTGGCTGGGGTGCTTACCTGATCTGTGAGATCACTAGCCCCAGTTGGTTGGCATTTTAGGCTTCCTTCCAGACCTTAACAGCAAGTGGAGCCATCTCAGGGCACATCAGCTCCTGTTTCTTTGAGAGAATCCTGGAGTAATATGTTAATTTCCTGCCTCTGAATAGTAGATATCCAAATTTATTTAAAATCCTGGTATTTTTGTAGTACCCTCTTAATTATTTTGAAAATTAGTTCATAATTGTATAGGATGTTCAAGAAGAACCCTTAAGCATAGGCTGTCAACCCAGTTTTAGAGGCCTAGTTTTGCTCACTCAGTTCCAAGAACTGCATTTTAGACTGATGGACCTCTACCATATTCTTCTTGGTTCCAGTAATGGTGTTTTGGTCTCCTTTAAGTGCTTAGCAGGCACTGAACCTATCTGGCACTATTAGGTCAGTTTTCTCCAGAGACATACACTTCTTCCTGTAGTATACTGTCTTTCCATCTGAGGAGTAAAATAGGCGGGTCTTTGACATGTCACATGACTTGCGTGAACTCAGATATTTGAGCGTTAGCAATAATTGCTCTTGGCAGCTTGTGCATTGAAAGTTAGTCTCTTATACCTTTCATTGAAAACAAGAGTATAAATTTATTGTCTTAATATAGTACAGTGATACATTTTGTTTTTTAGATCAGGGCATTTCCCACCCTTTCCTCTAGATTCAACCCCCTCTTGTTAATAAGCAAAGCAGTTAAGCAAAAAACATTTGATAAAGGTATCGTATATGATATTATATATGCAATTCTGCTCTCATGGTTTTTCTCCACTCTGCTGAGGGTATGTTCCATTATCTGTCTTAGAAGTGTTATTTATTAAGCATTCAGAGGTAAAATACTCATTGATCGCATTGGGGAAATTTTGGCCCACAGACAAATAAGTGATCATTGCTCATCCAAATAAGAACAAACTTTATCAAATTACTTTGCAATTGGAACTTAGCATTAGCAACTTCTTCCAGTAAATCTTACATCCCACAGGCAAGTGGAAAAGGCACATACAGAAGGGAAATGCACTGGCTTGAGGTTCATAAGACAGAGAAGACAGTCACTCTCACACACACACAAACACACATACACACGCACACATATATGCACGCACACAATATTGGGTGCAGAAGTGGAGATTGCAGCCTGTAGTTAAGGTACCTTTGGGAAGGGATAAAGAGCAATAAAGACACATTCACTGGCTCTTATTGGGCTGCTCTGACATGTCTGGTTATACCGCTAGAAAAAGTCAGTGTATTTTGGAGCTGCTCAGCTTTTAGAAAGAGAGATGGCATGGAGGTGGGGGGCAGGGACGGGAGAGCGAAGTTTAAGGGGAGGATGGTTTGGAGAAGAGTACCTTGTTATCTCTTTTTCAAATCAGAGAGTGAGAAAAATAGAAGTAAAAACCCATAACTTAAAAGCACTATTTTCAAAACACAAATTACCAGCTAAAGATAAGATTGTGAGGAAGAAAAGCCTGTCCTATTCCAAAAAAAAATCTGCCTCTACATGTTTGTGTGTAAGTGTGTGTGTGTGTGAATTTCAAATGTCAAGTGCATCCGTGTTATCTCCTACTCTCCCACACTGGGGAGACAGACACAATTTAAACACTTTTCTGCTAAATATAGGCTCACCATATCGGCACACATATAGTATGCATGTTCTTTGTTCTAAAAGCTCTGGCCTATTTCTTTATACTTCCTTTTAGCCTTGCAGCCACTTACTTCTCTCCTAAATATTGCTACCACTACTACAAGCCAGAATTTATGTCGTGTTAAGATTTGCAGAGTGTTTTACATTTGATGCTCACAGCCATCCTGTGAGGTAGGTACTATTATTATCCCCATTTTACTGATGAGGAAACTGAGACTGAGAGATTAAATGCCTTGCATAGAGTCACACGAGGTCTAAGTGTCTGAGGGAGGATTCAAGCTCTGGTCTTTCTGACACTAAATCTAGTGCTTTCACCCAGTGACACCCTTGGGAGAACTTCTCTTTTTTTTGAAGGATCAGCCTTGTTTTCTTTAGAAGGAGAGGGAGGATATCTATGGTGACCTCTTGTAGATTTTGTGCTGCTAATTATTGCCCCTGCTGTTTTAATCTTAGTTAAAATATGATTGCAGTATTTTCAGTTCCTGCAGCATATTGTCATACCGTGTGTGGCTTATCCATAATAGTCCTGGCTGTGGTCAGGCAGGGCCTTGCACGGTTACCAAAGCATCAGTATGTCTTTCATAAGCATCCCATTAAGCAGGCTGCCAATAACTCCGAGGTAAGATTTCTGGTCAGTTCTCTGTATCCAAATTTTCCACGGAAGTTGAATTTTCTGAGAGCTTGTAAGCAAGTATTAGTAGCCAGATGATGTTTTTCTTGGGTTATGTTGAACTCCTTTGAGTTGTGGTAAGTACTTTATACTTAGTAGATGCTTAATAAATATGTTGATTGCTTGAATGAATGAATAAATGAGCATTTACTACTTACATATAGTGTGGCTAAAAATTGGCTAATGCCAGAACCAAAGAACAATTAGCAATTCATGAATTATCCTTGTGTTCACATGTCTATTGGAAGTTCAATTTTTTGAAAACAAGGTTAATTTAAGTCAATACCTATGGCTTGATTAATGATATTACTATATGAAAATATTGGTTGAATCTGTTTTCATTGTGTGAAATACATGCAAGATTTGTAATATTTGCATATATTTGTTAATATATTGCAGGAAACTTAAACAGTATTTTATTTAAATGGTTGCTAGAGCCCTATAGTCAGCCATAAACTCTTAATTGAAGAAAGAATTAGTGCTGATATGTTTTCCACCGAGTCTTGTTGAATTAAATTCTTGAGTTGAGTAAATTTGCTAACTTTTTCTTCTGATGCATATAAGTATTAGCTACTAATTGGGTTTAGTAGGATATACAGATTAAACACATATCAGTTTTTCTCTTAAATATATTATTACCAAGTAATATAATAAGAGGATTTATATATGTGCTCACTTTCTTGATTCAGATTTCAACCTTCTCCCCCACCCCCTGTCACCACACACACCCTGGAGTACAGACACAGACGCTTTAATGAAGTTATGACCTCAATTAAATCATTACCTGCATTTGGCCAACCAGTTATTTGCTGGTGAACAGTTGAAACTGAAGCTAGGCTGTTGCTTGGGTGACAAATATATTCTCCATTGTTTGCTTTGTATTCAAAGCTCTTTCAATGTGATAAGACTGTCAGATATTGTGAGCCACTAGTATTAGGCCTTTGAAAAGCCTGGTTTACCTCTATACCAAGAGCAAGTCTCAGAGTAGGACTTTCTTGGTGGGGGCATACAGATAGTGAACTGAAATTCATATTGCTGCATGTGTGTGTTAAAACAAAGCTCAAAAACCAAGAGGTAAACATATTGTAGTCTCAATGCAATGTATATTTAGAGCTTGCGCTTTTGACTTTATAGCCGTGTGCTGCTCTTCTTTTATAGACAAGAGCCCAAGTTTTATCCAGACTGGATGTTGCCCATCGATTTCTAAAGGAAATTTATCCTGATGAATCTCAAGAGGAGCAGAATTTGAAAAATGAAATTAAAAAAGATGGAAATGCCTCAAAAACTCAGTCTCTTCAGGTCAGTGACTCTGAGGTAAGAGGAAGGAAAACAAGCTCAAACTTTGTGTTATGTGAAGTGTAGTTCATATTCATCTAAATCTTCACGATTATTTCGGAACTATCTTATTGCATTAAAATTTAGCATTTCTTTTATAAGAAGCAAATTTGTCCTTACTTGTGAAACAAGTCTAATTAAGTACAATGAAAAAAGAGGGTCCAAGACTGGTCATGCTTCCCCCCCTGACCTTTGACCCCATGCCTCATTTGTCTTCTTCCTCTTTTCCTATAGTCCCCTTCTCCCCCTGGTGAGTTCTTCCCAGAACCTCCATTTTGAAAAAAGGTTTAGACCAACCATACTTTATTTTCTAGACTTTGCCATCATGCTCCTGCACTGACAACTCGCCTCCCAGCTCTTTTTCAACTCCCTTTTATGTGTTGTCTTCCCCCGATAGAATGTAACCCCTTGAGGGCAGGGGCCACCTTCCATTTTGCTCATATTTGTATCCCCAACACTTAGCACAGAACACAGCACATAAGAAGCACTTCATAAATGCTGCTGATATGCCCCCCCCCCAAGGATGCCACTGAAAAGTAGACTTTTTGTTGGGGAGTTTCCATACTTTGGATGAGCAAGAAGAAGTGAGATCTGGAACCCATCTCTTCTGTCACCAGAGCTTCTGTGTGTGTACATGCCCACATACATCCATATTGTCACACCAAAAGAATGTATGTTCCCAGGAGGCTGATAATTTTAAAATGTTTGTCCTTGTCTCCTCATTTCTGAGCACAGTTCCTGGCAAATAATAGGTGCTGAATAAGTTCATGCTAAGTGATTGAGTAATTTATTCACAAGCATATAATACTTAGAAAATTTTGCAGTGAAAATGTCATTTTTTTCTTTTGGAATAACAATTTAGGATTGTTAAAAGTATCATGTAGTTTCTCAAATGCAAGATGGCCCATTCTCTTCCTACTATTTATTTTTGGCCCCAGTTCTCATTATATATTCAGTTTTTATTCAAATCATTTGCGTTGATGAACCAATTGAAAGGCTCTTGGTGCTACTGAATTTCGATATCGAAGGCTCAAAGATCCAGAATGAACACACAACAATTTGAATTGTGTTAATTGTACTTGTGTTCTTCCCATAGCATAGGCCCAACATACTTATTGGATGACATTTTAGTATCTCTCTCAATTTGGCCAGATCAAAAAAAAAACGGATTTCCCCAATTAACTGAATAATAAGAAAGTATAATTCTAATAGTTATATGTGATAATTAACTTTTAGAAGTCATATGTATCCCTATAACTATGGAGCTAGAAAACTGAGGACAACGAATTAAATGATGCATGCAAAGGCACAACAGTAAGAGTCTGTTTCTCTGTCAACAATGTACAGAGGCGGGATCTGACAGCTGTGTAATGTATTTGATTGCTGTAGAAAGCCATGCTGAGTAATTCAGGTCCCAGTAAAGAATTATCATTATTTGTTTTTACTTGGATTATCCAGTTTGATCTCACTGAAATGACTGCTAAGTCTCTCCTTTGTTTTGCTGTCAATGTAGGCAGAGGCAAAGTCTTTATATATATTTAGCGAATCTATTTAGACTTTTGTCACTGAACTTTAAGTTGTGTGCAGAACAACAGATCAGGCTGCTTCATCTTATCTAGGATAATTTTTCATATGCTCACAAACTCTGATTTGAATGTTCATGATACTGAATAACTATAGAGAATGTTGGAAAGTATAGAAACAGGCATATTTTTAATAAAAATTTCAGTATAATATTTGTAGTTAGCAATTAATAAACGTGGAATTTAATTTTTAAGAGTTCATGATCTAATGCTTAAGTTGTTAAAAGCATAAAACTTCGCATAACATCTTTGATTAATACTTGAAATTGAATTAGGTTGATTCTACACCATCAAAAAAGACTGAACTGACAAATCAGACTGGGGGGCTCCTGCTTCAAGGTTCATTTGATGAGGATGAGTCTGCTAGATCATTTCAAGAAATTTTAATTCGGTGGAGAAATGGCAGTCATGTAAACAAAGAGAAACATATTCAAAAGAATGCCGAAACTTCTCCAGGTAGAGATTGATTTTCACAAAATTTATGTGTTTTTTTTAAAGAAAGTATGGTTGTATGTGCTTGTTTTTAAAGAAAGTGTGGTTATTTTAATTTCTATTTGGAATAATATTTTGTGGATTGTTACTTATTCTTTCTCACAGATGCCACTCTATCTCAAATATATTGGAAAGAGAAACAAATAAATATGAGATATCTAGATGGTACAATGAGTAGAGTTCTAGATCTGGACTCAGGAAGATCTGGTTTCAAATACAGTCTCAGACATTCACTAGTTGTGTGATCCTGGGCAAGACATTTGACCTCTTCCTGATGCCATTCCCTCATCTGTAAAATGGGGATGATAATAAGACCTACCTCCCAGGGTGGTTATGAGGGTAAAGTGTTTGTGAAGTTCATTGTAAATTTCCAAGTGCTATATTATTATGAAGTGCAATTGTTTTTGCAACAGCATGTGCACCATTTTGTCTCCCTCTTTTTAGAAACCTTCAGTGGATGCCATTTGAATATTAATCAAAATCTTGATCATGAATTTCATTGATTTGTACCTTTTGAAATCATTTCTTTCCTACTCTATTCTTTTCTGGCCAAAGAAACATGCTTACCATCCCCATATCTGATTTTTTGTTTTTCTTTCCTTAATACATTCTAGATGCCACTTCCCATTTGTTGACACTACCACCAAATCTTTTCTCTACACCAGATTTCCTGAAGAAGCCCAAGATATCAGCTGAATACTGTCAACCTAGGGATTATATCTTAATCATCCTTATATTCCCCACAAATTCGTTGTACATAATCAGAGTTAAATAAATAGTAGAGCCATGAGTGACGGCATTACAATTATACTAAAAGCCTGTTAGTGGGTGGTTTTCCATAGACTTTGCATTGTCCATGGTACTTTTGTGTTTCTGTCATATATATTTTTATGTTTTATATTTGTATTTTTTTCTTTCCCATTGGGGCATAATCATTTAAAGGGTAGAGTCTAAAACAGAGATTCCCAAACTTATTTGTCCTAATGCTCCCTTTAAAAAAAATTACCCATTGCCTCCCTGGAAATCTACTGTCTTCAACCCTTTAACATTTTTTTTTGGAAATTTGTGTCGTTTAAAAAATATATAATGTTTTTAAAAAAATGACACATCTTAAATTTAATAATTTATTGTAAAGTTGTGTTTTTTTCGTGCATTGAAATCTTGATGACAAAATATTGATCATGTAACCATATAGTATCGCCCCTGAATTGCATGCAAGGCTGCTACTCCCCCCCATCATTCCAGTGCCTCCACCAGGGGGCAGTATCATTCACTTTGGGAGCCTACGGTTGGAAGAAAGAGAATAATTAAGATTGTGACCATGAGCACTAGTCCTTTAATCTTTCTAAACTTCAGTTTTATCATCTGTCAAATGGGGTTAAGAATACCCTCCATGTTTACTTCAGAGTTCTTTCTGAGGATCAACCAAGATCACAGTTTTGTAAATATGTCAGTTCTTCTTAATGCTCTCCCTTTAGGATTGTCCATCTTGCTGTTTGAGATATACTCTTATGATTAAGTCGTCAATAATTGTTTAAATAGATTGATGAATGCTTCCTAACATCCAAAAACATGATTGTGCCCTATTGACAATGAGTTTTGATGGTAAATTTTTTTTATAGATCTGTAAAGCACTTAGCCCAGGGCCAGGCACGTAGTAACTGCTATAGAAATGTTAGCTTTACTGTTGAAATTATTAACTGTTAATTTTGATGTCAAAATTATAGTGAAAAAGTGCCTAGATTTGTGAAATCATCAGTGCATCAGATTAAAGCAGAAGCTTTTCCTTTAATAGTATCTAAGCATCAGCTTGGAGAATATCATAAAGATATAAATTCTGGCAGGCAGTTGTCTTCTGCAAGTGTCATTGTTGAATATTTCTTCACTCCATGCCCTAGAATGTTAATGTCTTATGGCTAGTGGATGGGCAGTATATCTATTTAATTTATCTTTCTCCTTCAGAGTAATTAGTTTGCTCAAAACGGCAAGCATAGGAATTGTTTTATAGTTGCAAGTCAAGAAATAATTGACGAAAACAATATATGCATTTCAAACTTAGATTTTGTTTATATCACTTTGCAAATTGAATTTGTATTTGGATCCTAAAAATTTCATATATTCAGCAGAATCTTTTATGATTCTTTTAAAGTCTAAACCTATTGATCACAATGACAGACAAAGTGAATACATTCTCTTTGAATTGAGCAGCATTTGATGAGATGTGGTAATTAATAAATTAACTTTGAATGATAGATGAGCAAATTTTTTTTAGAGCAAGTGGAAGCATCTGAGGTACAGACAAATCTTAAAATTTGGAGAGAACCACTTCAAATTGAATTTAAAGACGACAGCCTGACTTATGTGGAACGACTATGGCTTAAGAAGCATAGAAGGTATTTACTGAATTTATACAATATTAATAAGCAACAGAAAAGCTATTACCATTCTATACTTGTGTGAAGTGCCTTTCTACAGCTAATTTATCTGTTCTCTTCGTAATTGAATAAAAAATAATTTGAAGGCAAGATTAAATCACTATGAAACTTCTGTTTTTCTGCTAAGAATTCTAATTCCATTTGTTAATATGACAGGCCATTATTTTTGGACCCAGTGTTAGAGAACAAATTTCTTATATAGAAAAAAGGACAAATCTGCCATAAGAAATCAGAAGACCACTAAGTTAGAAATAGTCTAAAGTTTCATTCATGTGAATGAAATTTTGAATGAAACTTGGTTATTTCAACCAAGGTTTTTTTTTTAGCCTCAATTTCATACTTAGTGTTTAAAACTTTAAAACCAAGAAATGTTGGATCATTTAAATCATATTTTGTTACATTTTCCATTTAATTCTGCCTTGGTATACAGTAGTGAGACACATGAACTCAAAACCAAAATATTTCTGAGAACGACGTCAATTATAACTTTTGGTTGTGCTGGTCCATGTCCATTGTGTATTGTTATAGGTCTCTGTAGCTGTAGCCCTGGGTAGATCAGCCAGGCCTACCAATGTGACCAAACATTAGACCTAGAAACATGCTTGAAATGTTTCTGGTTTTGAGCATGGAGATAGAACTGGTTAAACTCCTTAGGTCCAGCCTTAACAAAAGCTCATCTTTTCCCAACATGTACAGGGCAATGCCTTTGGACATTTTAGTCACAGTTGTAAGACATCTCTGAGATCAGGTAGACCATCTCTTTATTCACAGATTGCCAACCAGCTTCTTTTTGGCCACTTCCAGGGTGGGGAGTTTCCAGCTTCTTACGAAGCATTTCCTTGTATTTGTGAATTCTTCATACATTTCAAAGATCTTCATCCTGCTATCTGAATCTGAAACTCTCACCCATTGATTATTGTGCCATCTTCTGGTGCTATACAGAATAATTGTAATAATCTCAAAATCTGTAGTTTCGTGTGTTATATTATTTGTCAAATGATTTCTCTCAAATATATTGTAAAAGTGCAGAAGGTGATTCATGGTGTGAATTATCATTTATAATGAAAAACAAAACAAAACATGGGGCTAGGAATATGAAGACCTATGTCTTCATTCTGGTTATGTCACTTGGCAGCCTTTCGACCTCGAGATTATGCCATATGAGGATTCACCTGAAGTAATTTCAGACTTTCAGTTTGAACATTTTGTGGTCTAGGATCTTTTTTCCCCCTTGTCTCCAAACACTAATGTTTAAATAAAATTTCCCTGTTAAGATTCATTTAGCTTAATTAGAGCAAATGTAATAATACCTAGGTAAAGGCCAATGTTTCAATTATTATCTAATGATTGTTAGATTTTTTTTAATAGAGAAAAGCTATCTTATGGTCACTGACTCTACCCCTGCTGTGGTGAGCTCCTTCAAAAAAATGTGTTCCATTGATCACAAGGATGAACTGGTGAAAATGTTGAGAGCTCAGTAGACCTTGTTTTTATCATTAGAGAAATAGTCCAAAGTAAGCTTAGAATCTACTGGCAAATCTGTCTCTCTCTTCTCCCCTTAATATATTTATCATGTAAACATGCATATATTTTTACATATATGTGCTTTTGTATTCATATCATTTCACTACCTAGTTACATTTACATATCAATATTAAAGACCAGTGAGTAAATAAGTTCCCAGTCTTTCTCTTCCCCTAACAGATATTGCATAACATCACTTCTCAGTTCTATATTAGTGTTGAGTGGGCTTCAGTCATGGTGCAAATCAGAATCTCAGAGTTCTCCCTGAGAACCGCCTTTATAAATCCACTATACAAAAGTGGTCATGCAGTTGTTTTTGTTTTATACTTAAAAGTCCATTGGTGAAGGGGAATCTACTGTCTACTGAGGCATACCATTCTTCTTGTTATTATTGCTCAGGTTTATTCATGTCAGACTCTTCATGTTGGTAGTGTCTGTGGGGTTTTCTTGGCAAAGACACTGGAGTGTTTTGCCATTTCCTTCTCCAGTGGGTTAAGGCAAATGGGGTTTAATTAGATTAATTTAATTTAATTTTGATTAAGTGACTTGCCCAGGGTCACACAACTGGTAAATGTCTGAGGACAGATTTGAATTCAGGTCTTCCTGACTCCAGGCCCAGGCCTCTATCCACTGTGCCACCTAGCTGCCTCCTTCAATTCTGAGATAGTTCTAATTTTCTGCAAGTTCCATCTATTGTTCCTTGGTGGGATGGAGGTGTGGGGGAGAGTATAATAAGTTTATTCCTTGGTACGTTAAAGATCTTTCATATTCTCAAAGACCGCTCTCATGCATGGCCTTTTCAGATCTTCTCATTTTCAAGCTCAACATCCCATGCTCATTCAGGACTATTCATCTTGTTTTCTCTCCTCTAAATGAATTCCCTATTATTAATGTCCTCCTTTAAAGACGATCCAGAACTGAACCCGGTACTCTAGATCTGGAAGTGTTCTGATCAGAGCGGAGCACAAGGAATCTGTGACCCTCCCCATGGAGCACAGAAGGGCTCTTCAAGTTGTTGAAGATTGCATTACTGATTCATGTTGAGCTTGTAGCTCTTAGGATCACCCGCTGCCTGTAACTTGAACAACAGCTGTATTTTATAGTCACTCTTTCCTGCACACTTGGGCTTCTTCCTGTTGAGTGGAGGAGAGATTTCAGGGGATTAATTATTAGACACAAGCTGCAGGATATTGTCTGTTCTCTGCTCCTGATTAGCAGCTTCATTTGGGGCACGCTGTTTAGCTTTTTTTATGCCTCATTCTACAGATTTGTTAAAATGAAGGACTTGGACTACATGATCTGTAAGGTTCCTTCTAGCCTAAAATTACATGACTGTGAGCAAACCTGTCACATTCTTATCATGAAAACCCCGAACCAGATGCAGATATTTCTGATTTTTCAGTGAATCTAAGTACTGCCTGCAAAATTATCCTTGGTCTAAACTTGTCAAGATGAAAATTTTGGTGGCACTGCATAATGAGTGCGATGTCTGGGGACCTGGCCCAATGCATCTATTACTTGCATAGAAATTCAACCAGTTTCTTGCAGGACATACCTGTAAAGAAATTACAGTGTTTTTTAAAAAAATATATATTAAGATTGTTATTCAGTGCGGAGACATCTCGTGAACTTTAACATTTTGTCAGTAACCTGATATTGTCTTAGAAGACCATGTTCTCCTACCTAATTAGGCATAATCTCTCTTCTTTGTAATATAGTGTGAAATAAATAAGTCGAGATTGCTTAAAGGAGAGTGTTTATCACCATTTCAGACTTTTCGTTACTCTTTTGTTTCACAGGACCCCTCTTCATTGTGCAAAGAATGTGTCACTGAAGAAAGAGCCTAGTCCTTCCGTACTCGTTAGTGAGCCACTTACTCCTTTAGCAGCTTCTGCTGAAGACACGACACTAAGTGAAAAAGACTATGATATTGAAGGTGCACCAAAATTTGATAACACATTGATAATGTGTTATTTTAACTTTAATGCATTACTCTATCAGAGACGCTTGTTTTTTCTTGGATGTAGATTATCCTCAGTTAGAATGGCCAGTCAAAGATTAACCAGATCCCTCAAAACTGCTTTTTCTTCTTTTTTAAAAAGGTCCTTAGTCTTCTATGGAATGAAGAAACACTTTTTTTTTTTTTATTAATTAAAGTACATTTTTTAAAAGTAAGGATGAGAGACAGGGATTGTACCTATGATTTTGCTGTTCTAGGGAGCTCTCGAGTGAAGAAACTCCTACCATCTTAGTGTCTTATCTGAGTTGTCTAGATCACCACTGTAAAACTCAGATAGAAATGGGGACCACTAGCCCATACGTAAGAATCCCATACATAAGGATGTAGGCAACATGTTAACTTTATTTTAAAATGTAATATATATGTTTTATTGAATTTATTTTATTAAATATTTTCCAATTATATTGGAATCCAGTTTAGGCCACATGTGGCCCATGGCAGCATGTTTGGTCCCTCTGGTCTAGAGAGCTAAGAGATTAAATGACTCGTTCAGAGTCACACAACCAATCTGTGGCAGAGACAACCTTTAGCGATGATTTACTGATTTCAAGGCCAGCTCTCTATCTGCTACATCACGCTCCCTCTCTTTTTAAAATTGCAAAGTTAAAATTATTTCACTTCTTTTAGGGGCTGTTGTGAGAAGGACCAAATGATCTTGCATACAATCAATATTTCACTTATTTGCTTAAAATTTTATATATATATATATATAAAATGAATGTTTTTGAGAACCAAACCCTCTTACATTCACAAAAAAGTAGTTTTAATTGCTTAATTAAAATTTATATTTCACTTGTGGAAACTGACAACTTTTATATCCTCACATGAATGTAAAGGAGAGCACCATCTCTGTGCTGATGGTTGTGTTATTTTGAAGAAAATAAATCAACAGGTAAGACATATTCTTTGATGAGTGATACTTTTTTCTTGTTTTACTTCCAAGTCGAAGATCTGAAAGAAAGTTATCCAGATCCTTTCCTACCACAACAACCTGAATTAGTGAACCTTGAGTCATCGGTGAGGATAGTGGAACTCGATGATGTGAGTGTCTCATGAAGAATGATATTACTTCTCCCTAAGTAGTAATACATAATAAAGGACAGAAACTTATTTTCAAGAAGTAAAAATTAGAAGTAATTAAGGAGGAAAGGTAGAACTGATGGAATTTAATATGCTTGTAAAACAAAAACCCAGTTGATGTGCTTCCAGAGAGTAGAAGAACAAATATACCAATTGGATTGAGGCTAAACTTTTCAGTTTTTTTTTTTGCACATACCATTAACTTAGTATCAATCCTATAGCATGTATGTAGAAAAGCAAATTCTTACTATAAATTAATTTTATCCTACCTTAGAATTGGCAGTTATTTATGATAGCATAATATGGAGCCCTTTCGTAATGTTACACAAGGGATGTGCTCTTGAAAAATTATATATAAATTGATTTTTTTAAAGGAATAATTTTTAAAATTTTGGTAAGCTGTGTTCAGTGAGAGTATTCTTTCTGCCTTGAATATCCATTAACACTATGTTCTAGAAAGCTTTCACTAGAATGGAGAAGGTATATTTTAAATTCCTTTATGTATTATAATGATTTTATCCACCTCCCTCTGTAGGTGTCTTCCTGTTCTCCTATAATATAGCCCAGTTTTGAAAGCCATTTGACTACATGTGATCTCTATAGATTTTCTTCTGGTTTTCTTTGCCTCATTTTGTTGTTTGATTTTTATTGAATAGAGTATATTTATTAATATTTTATTATGAGAAGGAAGCCAGAATATTTGGTTAGTGAGGAACTTAAACTCATGTTTGAATCATGCAGAATCATGATACATTTTACAACTCCCAAGACTGAAAATTCCTGGGATCAGTATTGGGATGAAAATGAAATCTGTATATCCTTCAAGTTAATTGCTTTGTTTATGATAAGTGTATTTACTTATATTAATATTTCACAACCTATTTTTGATAAGAATTATGAAGAGGAATCTGGAGGCTCAGGGGATTTTGTGCCTTACAAAGTTGAATTGGCTGACACTGATAGTCAACAAAGGTAAGAGGTCATAGATAAAACAGATTGACTTCTGCATTGGTATCTATTCCCTTTGTTTTCACATCACATGCATTTCCCAAATACACCATTCACCCCATGGAACAGTCAAGATTAGCTGCCTTGGTGACTTTGTTTGTCTCCCCATCACACCGTCCCCTACCTAGCACTGCTCGCCTCTCTGTTGAGGAGGTGGGAGATGGGCATCATCATTTGTTCTCTGGGACCACAATCACATCTGGCTTCTCATTTGTGTCCCTTAGTGCCATTTTCTTTTCTCAAGTTTCTTCCAAAGTTTCTCAGAATCCCTCATATTCATTGCTGCATTGACGTGTTACCATTCCACTGCTTTCACATACCGTAATTTGGTCATCCATTTTCCAATCAATGGGCACCCATTTTGTGTCCAAGTTCCTTCTTTGTTAGTATAAGTTAGTTGCTTATAGATGGAAGTGCTTTAAAAGTGTAATTATCAGTCTATTTAGTTAGTAAATGTATGCTGACTAAATAGTTCAACTGAATTTTGCAAAATATTTTAAGCCATGTTTAAATTTGCATGTGACTTACATCTGATTTATCATCATCTTCATCGTCGTCGTTGTGGTCACCGTCAAGCATTTATATAGTAGTTTAAGCTTTGCAAAGTGATTTACATATGTTATTTCACTTAACCCTCACAAAGCCCTGTGATGTAGGTGTATTATTATGCCCATTTTATAGACTGAGAGGTTAAATCACCTGTACGGAATTACATAGGTAGTGAGTGTGTAAGATAGGATTCAAACTCAGGTATTCCCCAGGGCAAATCCAGTGCCATCTTCCATATGCCACCTACAGAGCACAAATCAGATTCATTTTCTGCAGAAGAAGGAGAGAAAACCTATGGTGACCTCTTGGAAATTGGGTGCTCTCTCAAAGTTTGGTTATTACAAACTCTGAATAGCTTTATGGACCTATGCTCTTTTTTTTTTTTGAGGCAGTTGAGGTTAAGTGACTTGTCCAGGGTCACACAGCCAGTAAGTGTCAAGTGTCTGAGTCTGGATTTGAACTCAGATCCTCCTGACTCCAGGACCAGTGCTCTATCCACTGCACCACCTAGCTGCCTCTGACATATATTCTTCTAATACCATTTTAATCGTGTTGAAGGGATGATTTCAAAACTTTTTAGCTCTGCTGGCATATCATCATACCACCTGAGGAAGGATTTTCACTCAACTCTTTCCGACTCTATGTCAATTCTATCCTCCAGCCATCTTGCTGCACCGTCAATGAGGAGTGGTCAGTGAACTGTGCCCATATCAATCAGGCTAAATCACGTTGATCCTAAAACTTTATCAAATTGTTGCCTTTTTGTTTGGCTTGACAAAGTGATCATCTCAGTGGGGTTTATTCTGTTTTTCCTCTTAATGTTGTGCTGACAGTGAACTTGAGGGCAGAGACTGGGTTTTTTCATCTTTGTATCTGCAGTACCTACACCGGAGGTGTCAGACTTAGAAATGGGGGCTCTCAACCGTGCCTAAGAATCTTTGTGGGACACGTAGTGACTTAGAAAATTACATATTAGTGTTATCTAAGTTCCGGGGTATTTTTACTTATTTAAAAATATTTCCCAATTCCATTTTCATCCAAGTCAAAACAAACTTGGGAGTGTTATAGACCTCAGTGCAGTCTGTGCGCTGTTTCTTTGAGACCTCCGTCTTACATCATGCCTGGCACACAGTCAGTGTTTAATGCATATTTGTTGGGTGAATGAATGGATAGGGAATTAACTGGTAACACCAACATCACAGTTTCACTGTATCAACAAGCATTGCTCGTTGATAAAAAATTAGATAGTTAGACAATAGGAGTCTATGTGCTTCTAAAGAAAATTTCAGAAAATTATAAGTGAGTTTCTATACCAGTTTCACTTATAATCAATATGCTAATTAAAGTAAATATTTCAGTTTATGAAAATATATGATTTTGAGATCTTAAGATGAAAAAAAGTGTGGCAGTGCTTAATGGTAAAGATACACACATTCATATGTACTCATGATGTACATTGTATGTTTTACTGGTAGAGTCTAATTTATAAGTGATTGATCTTTCAGTTTTATGAAAAGTTTTTTTTTCTTTTTCTTTTTGGTTTTGTTTTACTTCTTGCTTTTCTTAATTGGGAGGATTAGAACTAGAAAAAGAGAATTTCTTAAAAATTAAAACCCTTCCAATTGTATGGGTGAAACAAAAAAGAACTTAACCAGAATATTAAGCAGAATGCTTTGTTTTCTAAGTATTAAATCAAATTGAGGTTCTTCTGTGTTTGTTTTGATGATAAACTGAGTTTCAAAAAATCTGATGATTCATTCTTTTCCCCCACATTCTTTTCCTTGTTTCCAAACTGAAGTTGGACAGTTCATCAATATCAGAATAATAATTTTACTTTGGAAAAGACTTACCCCTTTCACTGATGAAGACCACTGACGCTGTGAGGCAGGATGGACATTCAACTAACGATAAAGACCTGTTTTCTCAGTGCAGCAGAATAATCTCTTCAGCCTCCAGAGAGACTTTGAAAGGTATATTTTTAAAAAATCCTTGATTATAAATGTTGGTATAATTTAAACTAATACTAATGTACATTTATAAAAATCTTAATGTTATATAGTTTATTTTGAAATCACAATTATGTTTCTATTATAATTCTAGTAAATACACTGTAAAATAAAGAAATGCAATTCCTAGTTCTGGATTTGTTAAAATGAAAATGAAAGACAGAGAAAAAAAAGACAGGGGGAGACAAGGTGCAGTGGAGAGAGCCCTGGCTGTGGAGTCAGAGTACCTGGGTTCAAATGTGCCTCCAAGACTAGCTGGGTGGCATGGGAAAAGTAACTTAGCCTCTCTGAGCCTCGGTTTCCTCATCGCTAAGATGAGAAGGTTGGACTACATTGTCTCTGAGGTCTAATCCACATCTATAGCTCAATTTGCATAAAATAAAAAAAATGAATAACAGAAAAATATAATGACAAAAATGAAATCTTCTAGTAAATAATTATTTTAACAAATTTCCGTTAACTTCAACACTATTTACATGTGTGAGACAAAGCCACCAAAGAGAGTTTCTTTAAAAGCCATTATTTTCTCTTCCCACATTATGGTCTGAGCCATTCATTAGTGAAGCTTTTGGATCCAGGGGTGGGGAACCTGTTGCCTCGAGGGCACATGGGGCCTTCTAGGTCCTCAACTGTAGCCCTTTGACTGAATCCAAACTTTACAGAGCAAATCCCCTTAATAAAAGGATATTAAGCCTCAATAAAAGGCTCAGTGACCCTTACCATTATCACCTACTGTACCATCAGAGCCTTCCATTGTTCTTATGTATGCTGCAGACCTCAGGACCTGGTGAAGGAAATGGCCATCATCTTTGGATTAGGTCAAGGGATTGATATCTGGATGTCTGTACAAATCCTTAGCTATGGTCATTTCTATGACCTAGTAATTCTCTTAAGCAAACAGCCCATTTACAGGATGAAATCAGATAATTTTTTATTACACTTACATATGTATGTATATTCATGGTATCCATGTCCTGTGCAACTACTTTTAGCCAAGGGAAACTGGAATTCATTGTCTATAGCAATCTCAGAACTAAGATATTGAATAAAGACAAAGTTGAGTCAAGTCTTTCAGAAGGACAGGAGATTTGATTTGTTCTAATTGCCCCCAGAGGATAGAATTAGAAGTAGTAAGTGGAAGGCACAAAATAGGAAATTGAGGCTTCATGTCAGGAAAATAAGCTGTGTCAAAACTGGGCTGCCCTTGGTGGGAGTGCCCCTGCCCAATATTGTGTATCAGGGGGATTCTTCTTTAGAACATACTTTGAGAGTTCTTTTAACTTTGAGTGTTGATGGTGGTTTGAAATCAGTATAACCTCCAAGAGCTTTATAAATCTGATTATCCTCAGCAATGTATCTCTCATGGCAAGATCTCTTTCTCTCTCTCTTATTGATAACATAGACACTTGGGCATCTCTGTTTTCGAAATTTAAATTGCAACTTAATTTTCAAAGACCGAGCAGTTCTTTAACATGCAGGTGTAAATGCTTTGCATCTTTGCCAGGCTGTGTGGAACCTGTTAGCACAACAAACAGCCCAAATTTGGACTGTGAATCCATGACCTCCACTGTTTACAGACCTCTTCGTGACACTTTTAGTGGAATGGATAGCTCCATTGCTCCATTCAGACAAGAGAAATTGGATCATTTCATTGCCAAAAACAGACCTTCAGAAAGAACTTTCTTTCCTCCAAAATTAGACTTTCCCCAAAAAAGACTGAAACCAAATGCAGTGGTAATTCTTTGGGTTTGCATTCATAAGCCTGATTGAGGTTACCTGGAGGCAAGTTTGCCCACTGAACCATGTGTCCTTGCCCTAGTCTTTTCTCTTTTGTTGTATGCCCGCTGGTCACTCTTCACCCATGGGCAGTTAGAGAAGAGTGAAACTCAAATGGCTTTAATTTTGCTGTTCTTCCTTGGTCTTGTTTGTCCTTTGTTCTCAAAGAGGACCATGACATCATGGAGGTGATGCCATGGCTTGCAAATGAATCGGATTTAAGTGAGGGAGGGCTGTGCAAAGTCACCCACCTCACTTTCTCCTCCAGAGCCATCTGGGTCCAGTGGCAAGATATAGATCAGGATGACTGGAGATGGTCCCCACTGTTCATTAATAGTGCCCTTGTAAAGTTTGAGTGGGGGAAAAAATTCCCCGGCTAATTCAGGCATTAGAAGACTTTAGATTGACTTTTTATATCTAGGATGTTTAAATGATCAAATGGATCATTAGAACTGATCTAGGCTACACCCTCCATCCTGTGGTTGATAAGGACGTGCCTCCAGAAAAGCATGGCTTCCCTAATGCTTTTCAAGTAGTTGATGTCAGAACTTGCACTACAAGCCAGGTCTCCTGACTTCCCAATGCCCTTCTTGGTACATTTTATCTATTATATCAACAATATCTACAAATAGATGTGTCTACACACATGTCTCACATTTGGAATACATACCTGCAAACCACACATAATACTTTCACACCAAACCACTTTCAAATAGTTTGATAAAAGTCCATTGTAGCATATTTATTTATAAATATGGGCCCTATTTAACTTTCAAAAGATATGGACAAATCATTTATTGTTTCTTTTTACTGTAGTTTCATCATCAAGAAGCTCCACTTCAGATTCTCCTCAAATAACAGAAAGAGGGTCAACTGTTTCTAGTGAAAAAATTGTAACAAAAAAGAAAAGCGTTTTATTGGAAAATAGAAAACCTGATGAGGAAATCCATGCTTCACATGAAAGGACCTCTTACCACTATAATGTGGTTTTAAGGGATTCCCATGGTGACGAATTGACATACAACTGCAAAAGTTCCCTGGAAGGGAAAAGTCTTCATGAGAACAATAACTCACAGCAATCTATGAAGTCTTCCAAGGTAAAGCAATAAGCTGTTTAATGATTTAAAATTGTTCCCTCAATCTAATTACATGCTGTAATTTGACCAGTGAATTTCACATTGATAGAGAGAGGATTAATACTTATTATAGAGAGATAGCATTTTGATCTAATAGCAGCTTACTAACTAACTCATCTGGGAATGAATGATAAAGAATTAAAAGTCAGATCCTGTTACAGTGAATAACCATCAGGGTGAAAAAGTCTCTATCAGAAAATGCTAACTGATACATTGTGATAGTATATTATGCATTCTGAACAATGACATTCACTACTGTGAATAATAATTCAGTATAAAAAGCCCCTTATCTAACTGTTGCTTAATAAATTACTTGTTACAAGGATATATATGTATATATTTTATATACATGAATTCACATAATATATATGGCATCTGAATCTGTGGCATATGCAAGTTTAAGCAGAAACACAAATGCATTGTCTAATCATGGCAAAAAAAAATTCAGTGGACTAAGGAAATAAATGAAAAAAAGAGTGTTTTTTTTTTGAAGGGGAGATAAAAATAGTGAGTGAATAAGTCATTCTAGTGAGGGGAAGATGAGCCAAAAAGTATTGATTACCATCCATTATCATGTGTATGCTTAAAAATTGCTGTATCTGGTCTATAAATTGGCATAGTGAATTAGTTGATATCAAAAAGTAAAACATTTAAAAAGTATGATATGTTGTATTTGACTTTACTTTGAGTAACACCAATTCATTTTAAAATTATTTATCCTTAATTTTTCTGTCACCTTCACTTATCAATAAATCCCTTCCCCCTTTTCCATCTAGAGAGGTATCTTTTATGGCAAAGTATAAAAAGAGAATGAGAATAAGTTGAGCAAAACTAACCACTTCAATCACATCTAACATTATATTGAATATTCACCATTATATGGGGCCCAGTATGCATGAGGCAGTTAAATGGTGCAGTGGATAGAACTATGGGCTTGGAGTAACGGGGACCTCATTCCAAATCTTGCCTCAGACACTTAACATGTGTCCCTAACCTCTATCTGCCTCAGTTTCTTGAACTGTAAAATGCAGATAGTAACAACACAGAGTTGTTGTGGGGATCAAGTGGAATAAAACTTAGTGTTCATAAAGTGCTTAGCCCAGTGCCTAACACATATTAGGAGCTATATAAATGTATATTCTCTTTCTTTCCCCATCTTCTCCCATCAGTGCAAAGAAGGGAGGAAGGTGAATTCTTCATATTTCTCCTTTGGGACTAAGGTTGGTAATTACAATTGTGCAGTGTTCAGTTTCCTTGTATTGTTCTTTCACTTTACATTTCTTAGTTATCATTTCTATGTTATTTCCTTGGTTCTGCTTATTTCACTTTGCACCCATCAGTCCATATCAATCTTCCCATGCTTCTCTACATTCTTCATCTTCATCTCTTAAAGTAGGGATGCTTCACTGAGGTTACAGTTTAATGTCTTAAATGTCTTTAATATTGTTTCAGGAAAAAAGGCATATTTTCAATGATTCATTCTAAAAGCTTAGAGGCTATACAAAGAAGAATCTCAGATACCTGTTGAATAAATTGATTTATGGAAATATGGTATCCATGGTTGAGTAGAAAGAATGTTGAATTTGGCATTAAAGGATCTGGGTTCAAAACTCAGCTCTGTCGCTTGCTGATTATGTGACCTTGGGAAAATCAATTAACCTCTTTGAGCTTCATTTTCTCATCTGTAAAATCAGAAAGTTGTAAACCAGTGACCTGTAGAACTCCTTTCAGCTCTGGATTTTATGATTACTAGATATTCTGAGAGACACAGAAGTATAAGTAATGTTTCCTGTGTGTAGTAAACTTTCATTGTAGCTATAGAGGCAAAATAGTTGAAGTATCAGTGAATAATCTATTAGTAATATAACTTTTAACATTTTCACCATTTTTCATTTCCCCATTCTGCTCATTTGATGCTACCTAAAATAAATATCCATACTCCAATTCAAATAGCATTCAACGAGAATCTGTCATGTGCTACGTACCATGTTAGGAGTTAGGAATACAAAGAAAGGAACATCCCAGGTCCTACTCTCAAGGAACGTATTTTGTATTGTGAGATTATACCATACACAAATAAGTTAGGGCAGTTTCTGTACAATAGGAATTGAAAGTAATATAAGGGGTGCTACCAATGGGGGGGCAATCAAGAAAGGCCTCAGGAAGGATATGGCTCTTGATTTGAACCTCAAAAGGAATGAAAGATTCCAAGAAGTTGACATCAAGAGGAAGAACGTTCTAGATAGAGTGAAAAGCCTATAAGGTGTGGAGGTGAGAGGCTCTAATGCATTTCACTCAGGCCAAACAAACCTGCACCCCTGGAGGTCAGTCAGGTCTTCCCTAAGGTCTTCTCAAATGTCTTAGGAGGACAACTACTTTACCCAGTGTCTATTTCTGCTACTCTGAGGTGATGTTCTGTCTTTTCTTATGGAAGAAATTTGGAGAGCTGAAAGTTTTCTAACCTACTCTGCTATCTTCCCAGAATCATTGTGGAAAACCATTTTTGAGAAATGAGTTTCCTAAAAAATTAAAATGGATCAAACAGAAATCAATGATTCCATGATATAAGAGGGAATATTAGAAGAAAACAAGTATCTATTTTAAAGGAAAACAAAATAATGGCCTGAAATATAGGCCCATGAGTGATCATTGGAGTATCATTAGACTACTTGAAAACATCAAAAAAAACCCTGCATATCATATTTCAAAAAATTAGAAATGAAAATTTCCTAGCATCTATTAAAGCTAGAAGTCAAAGTGAAAATGTAAAGAAGCCATCAACTATCCACTAAAAGAAATCCCAGTAAAAGGTCCCAGAACTTCAAGGTCAAATAGAAATACTGTAGGCAGCTTAAAAATAAAGTTCAAGTACAAAGGTACTATAATTATCACAGAAGATTTGGAAGAGACTACTTTGAAGGAGAAGTGATATTGGAATACAGTATTAGAAAAAGTTGAAGATAAATGTTTATGTCCACTGTGAAACTCAATAATATATTATTCATAAGAAACACACTTGAAACATAAAGATTCACAGAGAGTTAAAATAAAGGGATAGGGCAGAATTTTGTATGCCTCAGGTGAACTCTGCTGCAGGTGCTAATTAAGCAAGTCCTTCCTATTCATCTTTGACTTTGAGATGCCAGCAAGTCTCTTAACCATAGCTTTCTTTATGGGCTTATATTTGATGGAGACCAAGATATTTGAAGACTAAGGTATTTCTTGGTCTTGTGATTTCCATCTATAATAAAAGTCTGGGATGGACAAAGGCCCTACTGAGCATCATTGTGACTGGTATTCTATTGCTTTATATTACTTTTGCTTTTGTACAGTTTTGCACTCACAGTGCAAAGATGATGGATTGGACTTTAAGGGAAGGAGAAGAAAGAAGAGGAGGTGTAGGAGGAAGAAAAGGATCATTGTGTGGTGGTTGATGACCTCTAAAGTTTCTCTGAAATTCTGATTCCATGTATCATAGGAAATAGACCACTGAAGTTGTAATTATTAATTAAGTACTAACTAATTTAATTAAATCCTGACATCATTTTATGGACTCTTGAGGTTATTTGAAACTTTGATTTCTGAAGTTCTCAACTTGTTTAAAATGAATTATTTTTAATAATAGCAAGGCTGTATCTACTAAAAGCCTCCAACATCTGATTCTAATGTGTGTCTTTGGCCTCTATTTTTCCAGAAACAAGAATGCCATTTTAAGAGGCCGCCATTTCTGAAAATGAGCATTTGTACATAATAATCTAGTGACTTTTCCCATTTGGACTCTGAGTAAGCTATAGATATTGGGCATGCTTAAACTGAAGCCTTCAGTGGTTGGCACAAACAGTAAATTTACATAAGATCTAATTAGATTTACAAAATGCTGCCATAGTGGGTTTTGTTTAGCTTTTTCATTGCCATCTGCCAGTGGAATTCAGTCACCAGTCAATAAGTAAATAAGCCTGAGGCCAAAGAGGAGAAAAATGGAGTGAGAAGTGTTTGTCTAAGAGTATAGACAAAATGTGGCTAAAACTATAGGTGATGAATATGGCTAAAACCAAATTTTTTGGGTCTCTGGATGACCATCCATTTGAAGGCATTTTTTTGGCTCCCATAAAGATATAATTTATTGCTGATGGACTTATTTGAAAACAGTTCTACAAAACCACAGCCAAACATTAGCATCTGGAGAAAGTATTCTTTTTTAAATCTGATCATGGAATTTTAAAATTGGAGATGACTTTAACTTTCTGTTCATTATTCTCTAAAGATTATTTTAAAGCATTTATTAAAGATCAAAGCCCCCACTATTTTGTCTCCCATTTTTAGCCTCTTTTGTGTCTGTAAAGACTTTGATGAGGATTAGCTCCATGTTTAGAATGGCTTGCTGAAGTCCCTCCCTGCCCCTCAAGGTCCACCTCAAGTACCATTTTCTTCACCCAGAAGCTTTCTTAGACCCTCCCCACTCCTCTCCCTTAAACTTCTCAGAGCACAAATCCTGGATCTTTGCATCAGAGTTAATTGTCCACCTGTCCTCCCTGTTACTTCTCTTACTTCTTGGAAGTAAGTGGATTCCACTGTATTCTCATACACCTTATACATAATATGTCCTCAATCATCGCATAAAGGAATTAATCCTGATATCCAAGAATATTTGCTTCATGCCTCACATTCCTTTCACTTATATCTCTTATACGTGGTAATAATCCAGTCTAGTTCAGTTCAATGAACATGTTACCTGCCTACATGTGCCAGGCACTATACTAAGTACTAGGGATAAAATTACAAAAAGAAAATGCCTTCCCTCAAGGAGCTTACAATCTAGTTGGGGTGGGGGGAGGCAGAAGACAACACACAAACGGAGACAGGAAAGAGAGGGAGAAGAGACTAGGGGTCCCTGTGGAGGGGAGGGACCACATTGTTCCATGGAGTTGAAACCAGGCAGAGCAGATGCAGAGTGGACAGAGCTGAGTCTAGCTTCTGCCATCTGTAAAGGAAGGCATTGGGAGGAATTTGGTGCTCCAACTTCCCGCTCTCCAGTCAGCCATGCCAGCCTTGAGTTAGCAGCATGGTGATGAAATTCAAAATGATGGGCTTAACTTGGGAGGGGTATCGTTTTCCCATTGAAACCAAGCAGAGCAGCATATGCAGTACAAGCTCTGTCTCCCACTGATAATCTTAGGAAATCTACAAAATTCTTTTCTGTATAGGCATACGTTAACTGTATGTAGCTCTCTAGAAGGTAGTTTCCCATAATTCCTGAGTAATTGGTAAGGGAAAAAGGCATGAGAGGGAAAAAAGAAAAGAAACATAGAAGAGAAAGGGATATTGTCTTCTCTGAACTCTTCATATCCCTACATAGATAAGGTCGGCTTATCTCATGGTATTTCCAAGTGATTGTTATTTTAAAATGACTTTTTTAGTGGTTATGATTCAAATCTATTTCTTCATGTTGAAAAGTCATCAAGTTAATTTGGTTAAATGTTTTGTTTCCTAGTTACAAAAAATTGCCCTCAGAAGTAAGCCCGTAACTGAACAATATCAAGGACTTGAGAAATTCTTTGTCTTTGGGAAAAACCCTTTTAAGGAAAAGTGCAGAATAAACCTGGCAAGGAGGTCAGAGATGAACCTTTCCAACAGCAGGATTACTCTCATAGGTAAAGCCGGATTATCAAATCAGTTTGCATTTGAGTGTTATAAGTTGTATGTTACCCATTTTTTCTTTAAAACAGTCTCCATTTTAAAGATACTATGGTAGCATTGGGTAATGAATGACATCATTCTTTTCTATTTACCTGTCAAAAATTGTTGTTAATTTTATGCAAGGAGTTATGGGATGATTCTAATGCTGTTATCTGAATGTGAGAAATTTTTCTGTGAGAAAGGAAAAAAGAAAATTTTAACTTGGGGCCTATTTTATTTGTAAATTAGTAGGAAATTTTGGAATCATACTATTTTCATGCAGCATTATTTCATGTGTCTTAATAAGAGAAAAGTGTTGTATTAGTTAATTTGATTAATGGATCAAAGATTCCACTTATTCTCAGGTTACCTCAAAAGACAAGTTTAAGAGTCTCTGAAACTTGAGAAACTTTTAAAAACAAAACAGAGCAAAATAAAATATATTGTTGCTGGTTTTTGTCTTTACCTGATAGGCATTTTCTTCCTTTCCTCCAGACTGAGATCTTTCTTGTGACAAAGAAAAACAATTAAGTCAAGATACACTGACCTTATATAACAATGTATAAAATATTCTGTCCTGGCTGTCCTTCACCTCTCTGCCATAAATTAAGATGTGCATTACAATCTGCAATTTCCAAGTTTTGTTTTACATACATCCACATGTAGTTTGTGTGTTGAATTTTCCATGTCCAAGGAATATGGATATATTTATTTATCTATTATCTATTATAAACAACTACCTTGATGTATAAATACCTATCTTTGAAATTCTTATCACCAAAAATTTTTTAAAGTATTAAATAACTTTTCAACAACTATCTTTTTATTTTCCGTTTTAATTCAATAAATTGGGAACACCTACTGTATAAAAAATATCCTCATTTTTCTCATTAGTGTATGCTTATGTCATTTCATATTTAATAACACAATAAATGGATTCAGCTATTAAAATACTCTTTTTACAGCTAAGTCAACTGTGCTACAATAGTACGTATTCCATTTAGAATACAACTGTTATAGCAAACATCAAGAAGATGCAGTGTTTTTCAGTGTTTAATGTTAGATTTCTGTTTTCCCCTTTTTGATTTCAGGAAATCGACAGTGGATATCTGAGAGTAGTTTAAGTGAACATGCTGATGATTCAGTAGTTCAAGATGTTGTTTGGAATAACCAGAAAAAAGTATCAGGTGTGCTGCATCCTCAAAGGGGTAAGGATATTTCTAAGACATAAATAGCATCTGTTGATGTTGAAATAGGGTTGAATGATTTGAATATTGAAGCTTTTTCTTCTGGGCATTTTGGAATTATTCAAGTCAAGTCAGCAACATTTATTATATCCTTATTATGTATCAGATACTGTGTTAAATTCTATGGATACAAAGAAAGGCCTAAAGAGCTGCATTCAAATGGCTTAACATCTAGTGGGGAAGACAATATGCAAACAAATTGGACTCTCAGGAGGAAGGTGTACACATTAAGGGGGATAAGGAAAGGCTTCTTGTAGAAGGTGAGATTTTAGCTGAGACTTGAAGGAATTTAGGGAAGCCAGGATATATGGGGAGGAGGGGAGAGAATTCCAGGCATGAGTAAAAATGCACAGTCAAGAGATGGAGTGTCATGTGTAAGGAACATCAAGGAGGTCATTGTCACTGGAATGTAGAGAAAGAGGAAATAAGTTACATTAGTTAGAGAGATAGGAAGGGTCTAGTTACAAAGGGTTTTGAAAGTCAAACAAAGGACTTTATATTTGATCCTAGGCCTAATAAGGAACCACTATAGTTTATTGAGTAGAGGAGAGATACAGTTAAATCTGTGTTTTAGGAAGATTACTTTGACAGTTGACTGAAGAAAGGGCTAGAGTGGGAAGAGATTAGAGGCAGGGAAACCAACTAAAGCTACTTATTATGATAGTACAGATGAGAGGTGATGAAAGCCTGTATCAGGGTGATGGCTGTGTGTGTGCAGAGTAGGCGCTTTCTCAGAAAGATATTTCTAACCTAGGATTGACAGAACTTGGTGACAGATTAGATATGGCGGTTGATAATGAGAAGTCAAAAATGGTACCTATGTTATGAACCCAGGTAACTGAGATGATGGTTGTACCCTTCACAGTACTATGAATGTGGGGAATAAGGGCATGTTTGAGGGGGAAAGATAATGACTTCAGTTTTAAATCATGTTGAATTTAAGATGTCTACAGGACATCCAATTTGAGATGTCTACTTGGCTATTGGAGATGCTACACTGAAGGCCAAGAGAGATGTGGGTTAGGGATCGATAAAGAGATTTCAGAATTATCTGAATAGAGATGATAATTGAATATATGGGAGCTGATGGGATCACTAAGCAGAATAGGTTAGAGGGAAAAGAGAAGAGGGCTGAGGATAAACAGAGTCTTGGGGGACTCCCACAGTTAGTGGGTAAGACCTGGATGAAAGAAGATACAGCAAAGTAGACAGAGAAGGAATGATCAGACAGATAGGAGGAAAAGCAGGGGTACAGTGTCTTCAAATTATAAATAGTTCCATTGATTCTTTTGCTTTGTTTGTTTTAAAGGTGGAATGGAGGGAGGATGGTGAACATAATTGTTTTGCATGAGTAAATAGGTTATATCTTTAGTATAAGCATATGCCCCTCTCTGGTTGATAGGGCATTTTGTTGAAATAAGTATGTTTGTAAATGAAAACTCCCTTAAAACAGCTACAAAGGTTTTAATTATGCATTGTTCCTGTAAAAGCTTGGGTTTATTTTTGTAGGAGTTAAGTGTTAAGAATTAGAAACATAGCAATGGGGCTGGTCTGTTGGAGTATTGTAAATTATCAATAAAACATGTAAATGTATTAAGCATGCACACACATGTGCACACAGACATGTGTATGTGCGCGCACACACATACACACACACACACATACACATGCAGGCACCAAACCCCAACACCGAACAAAACAAAAAACCCTGGAGCAAACAGAGTATCAAAGGGAAGAGAGTGATAAACCACGACAGGGTGTACAGAGGGATCCTGAGGCGTGAGGATCAAGAACAGGCCATTGGCTTTGGCTGGCAGCAGATCAGCGGTAACTGGAAAAGAGTCAGTTCAGTGAATCCTTGGAAGCTAGACTACAGAGGTCAAAAGAGAATGAGGAAAAAAAAGAAAGTACAGACACAGTTTATAGACAGCTTCCTCAAGGAATTTAGCATGAAAAGGAGGACAGAGTACAGATAGATGGATCAAGTGAAACTTTTGTTCTTACTGTTCATTGCTTTGTGTTAAGACGTTTTACTTTTGTTTTTAAAATATAAAGCAAGAATTTCCATTCAAAATTTTTACATTATTATACTCAAACTGAAATATATCTCATATGATGATACTCTGTGCAGCTATAGGCCAGCATTTTCTAGGCTGCTTCTCCAGTACTGGCTGCTGCTTCAATCCATGCCAAGAGGAAGCCTGTGTATTTGTGAATCCCCATACTGTGACCAGAATTAAGCACCTTCTCCCCTTGAAGTCTGCAGCAGCATCCCATATCCTCTCCAGTTCCTTCTTATTGTCCTTTGGTCATTTTCTCCTTTCCTCAATAAGTTCAGTATCTGGTTCTTAGGCTTCTTTTTTATCCCAGATCCTAACATTATGCTCAGTGACTTCAGTATATTCACACTGATGACCCTTACCACACACTGGCTTTGTAGTTCATTCATATCTTAAGTCCTGTGATCCCCTCTCCCTTCTACCTCAGCCATCCATAGTTTAGTCATCCCTTTGGCTTTGCCATCACCTTAAGCGATTCAACCTCCAAAATCCTGAACTCTGCAATTCCTCCCTCTGATCATTCTCTACCTTTTTCCTCTCCAACTGCCCCATTCCTCCTGAATCTGCTCCTATCACTCATCCCAAACTCTATTTAGTTTTGGATTCAATTTCTTCCTAATCTTGTCTTTATGGTAACCATTTAAGGAGACACTTATACTCAATAATTGATTCCCATATTCATTTGTGTCACCTTTTCTGTCTTGTTAATCTCCCTGGCCATGGGCTGTTCTTCTCCCCTTCTTCCCTCCTCATCCTCTCATATCATCTATATTTTGTGGCTCCTATGCCTTAGTAATAGAGCTCTTCTGGAGAACGTTAAAAAAAAAAAACAACAACTGCGCTGACTGGACTTACTATAACTCATGCTCTGAATCTCATTTTGGGCCTCACTGCCACAAAGCACTCCTTTTATTAATTTCCCATTGACATCCTATCACTTCCCCTCATGGCTGATGAGGCAGAATTTCTCATCTCTTTTCCTAGGCCTCTGATTCCATCTTTGTCAGCTGATTACTTTGTGTGTCAGCAGGTTGCTTTACTGACAAAATTAAGATCATCATGAACTCCTTCATCTCCTGTCCTTTCCACCTCAGGACTTCTGTGTCTTCACCTACGGTATCAATTTTTGCTTTAGCTTTGGAGGATGAAGGAGACTTCTTTCTTGTTAAGGCCAAGTTCTTGATCCATAAAGAATTCATTCTCTGACTTTCAGTCTCTCCGCTCCTCTCTCTCTCTCTCCTTTGTCCCCACCTCCCATTGCAATGTACAGTCATTGCCAGATCTTCCTATTCTGAAAGCTATTCCTTCAGGCTGTTATTCTATATCTCTTCCTCCTTCTCTGCTAAATTTCTAGAAAGAATAGTTTATAGTCATCCACTTCCTTACGCCTTGCACAATCCTTAACTTTTCAATCTGACTTTTGAATTCATACTTTGCTGAAATTATTCTATACGTAGTTATTGGCCTCTTACTTGCCAAAATCCGGTGGCCTCTTTTCATTATTCCTCCACTTTGACCTTTATGAAACAATTCTCTTGGCAACGTTCTCTTTCTGGATCTCCAACCACTGTTTGGATTTTGAGATATTACTGTTTCTTGGTTCTCCTCATACCAGCCTGACACCTACTCGGTCTCCTTCCCTGGCTCGTGTTCTTCCCAACCCCTCAATTTGGCTTCCACCCAAGCTTCTGTCCTCAGGCTGCTTTTTTTTTCTCTCTGTATTTTCTCCTAGGGAATATCATCTACTCCCATGGCTTCAATAATTATTCTTTGAGAATTACTCCCAAATCTCTCTTTCTTGTCTCAATGCCTCTCCTATGTTGCAGTCCTAGATGTCCATCACATCACATTTATCATATCTAAAATGCAACTCTTCATTTCTCCTCCTAAATCTGGCCCTTCTTCCAAATTCCTTTTTTTCTATTACTGGCATCACCATGAACCCAATTATTCAGGTTTCAAATTTGAGAGCATTTTGATTTTCTTTTCTCTTTTACCACTCATATCTAATCACTTTACAAGTTTCATTAATTTTACTTTCAGAGTATCAAACACCCCCCCCCCATGCTCACAATATGAGTTTTTAGGTCCGTGTTGCATTTCTCCTGGACTGTTTTAATAACAGTAGTAACTTGTCTCTGTGTCTCCACCATTGCCCTTTTCCAATTTCTCCTTCAAAAAGCTTTGGAGATAATATCCTCAATAAACAGGTTCAACTATGCTAGTCCTCTGCTTGAAAAACAAATACATAACAGAATGATAATGCTGTGGACCAAATACAGACTCTTTAGCCTCAAATATATTGCCTTCTACAAACAGTATCCAACTCTTACAGTTGCATTCTTTTCTTTATGTAGTCTGTGTTGTCAAACTTGACAGCTAGCTCTTCCTCAGATTCATCTTACACTCTAAGTCCGTGCCTTTACCACACCATTCTCCAGTCCTGGAACATGTACTTTTCTTGTTTCTTCCTCTTCAGATGGTTCTTTTTCTTCAAAACCCAACTCTATCGCTGTTTCCTCCATAGAGCATTTCTTCAGACCTATAGCTGACAATGCCACCACCCTAGACTATCGTCTTCCTCCTGAAATTTTTCTTACTTTTTCCTTTGTTTTATATTGAATTCCACTCTGTGTTATACTCATTTATTTGCATACTGCATTTCTCTGGGATTAAATTGTAAATTCCTTGAGGGGCTTTGTCTTTTTTTTTTCATTTCATATTCCATAATGCCTTGTATATACCATCTGATTAATACAGGTTTGTTGAATCAAATTATATTATTGGATTAGGTCGAGCACTTATTTGATAGGAGACAGAAAATCTGAATTATAGTTTCAGGTCTGCTACTAACTCCCATGTAAAATACCTTAGCTTCTTTGGGCTTTTCCTCATCAGTAA